ATAAATATCCACTTCGATTGCAGATAAAAGCACAGCAAAAAATATAAGAAAGTACAATATTTATCATATTTGATCATTTATTTACTCATTTCAAAAAGTGGAACCTATATTTTAGATTGTTTACACATTAGGTAAGATATCTTAAGTTTGATTTATTGTAATTTTGATGATTATGGCTAACAGAATGGAAACAAAAGAAACAGTCTTAGAAAAAATGAAGATAGTAAAAATGTTATTTTCAACAGATACGTCAGACTTCTGAAAACTATTATTTTCTTTGTTCTCAATTCGTGATGGGGACTTCTTTTGTGTGAATTACTACATCAATCCAGTGCACCTGGTGCACTGAATGGTGCACCAGAATGGGTTAATTGCAGCAATCAACGTTATTTGCAGAAACATAGGGCCCCAAAATCAAATTTCGCATGGGGCCCATTGAGGCTTGGGGGCCCATGGAGGCTTAGGGCCCATGGAGGCTTGGGCCGGCCCTGATCAGCGTGAAATCAGTAGGACTCAGTAGATCATAGCAGGGCCCGGATCCTCCTGTGTGACGCAGAGCTTCACACATGAATCCGCTCCCTTAGGAGCTTTCAGGTTCTAATTTTTTATTTTATTTTTTTAAAAGGGGAGGAAGAAAAACAGCGCAAAATTGAAACATGTCGGAGGAAACTCCACTTTCTTCCTTCGCTTTCTTGTGGGCCTCAGATCATTTTAAAGCTGCTCTCAAGCAGCTTGTGGTCGCGATGGAAACTTAAACTGGTTGGAACTGGACGGAATCTCGTGGAGTTCGAGAAATTTTGGGTTTGTCCATGCTACAAACTTTAACAGCTAAGCTGTTTGAACTGTTTTTCTAAGATAAATAACTTCTTTTTGTACAACAGAGTAACAAGTAAGCAAAAGAAAAAGTTTTTAACAAGCGAGTGTCGAAGAAAGGAAGCACTTACTTTGCTTTTAACTTCAGCAGACAAGCCGTAAGCAGGTCCTTTATTGAAATATGTCATTTTCTGCTCCTAATCCCAAATACAGAAGCAGGAGGAGCTGAAGAAAATCAGGGTTCCAGCAGAGCCGCGGAAACAAAGCAGAGACAGAGAGAGGGAGAGAGAGAGAGAGAGAGAGAGAGACAGAGAGAGGACGTGGTGGGAACGACATGACGTCACAAAACAGCCAATCAAATTCTTTCTACTGCTCTCATCTTCTGTACATCTGTTTTATCTTATAGATATAAGCATGTACAATCAACATTGAAAAGATACCATAACTATCCTGAAACTACATAAAAAGAACAAACCAAACAAAAAGTAAAAACCAAAAATGAAAACTTAACAGGACACATTGTATATACAACATAAAAGTCCAGGAAAATACATTAAAGTGCAAATGTTTTTTTTATTATTATTTCTTTAGAAAAAAAAGACATCAGCTGGAAATCATTTTGACTTCACAAAAAATAAGGATTTCTACAACAAATTTAGCTCCTTCTTCCACTATATAGGGATGGCATTTATGTTTGGATAATATATTAGCCAAACATTAAATACACAAATGTCATATGTGAGAACACTGTTTATGCCATATTTGTTGTTATGGTCATTAACAAAAACACCAAATGTAACCTCTTGGATGGGTATATCTGTTAAATAAACTCCATTGACCAAATTCCACCAGAACAGTGGGAAGCATCTCTAATAACAAACTTTGGATTGCCAGTTGTGAAGGAGCTACTAAACAAGAAAACTTTTATTTAATATGAGATGCAGCGAGTTATTGAGGATAACGCATAACCAGTTCAAAGTTAAGATTGGAGATATCAAGAAGGTGCATTGGAAGAAGCTGGAGAATAATTACAAAATGACATTATCAGAAATGTGGAGTCAGGGATGAAGAAGCTCACAGGCTTCAACCAAAAAGAGGAAGTCTGGACAAATCAAATGAGCTGAACACTTTCTTTAACAGAATGACTTTTGGAACAAGCTTGTCATTCTTCTCTCTTTATTCCAGTCAAATAGACATTCCACTCTCCTTTGACCTACAGCCTTCCTATCATACAGACTGGACTACAAGAAGAGACAGAACACGCTGTACTTCTTGAGGAAGCTTAGATCCTTCAAAGTTTGCAGCAAAATGCTGAATATCTTTGAGAAGTGAGTTTTCTAGAGTGTAATCTCTTCTGTCATCTATTGGGGCTGCTGTAGCAGAACCAGGGACTCAGAGAGGTTCACCAAACTGAAGAAGAAGGCTGGTTCTCTGCTGGGGACGACTGTGGAATCACTGGTGCAAAGAAGGATTTTACATAAATTCAAGAACATTATGAACAACCCTGAGAATTATTTTTATGAGACTGTCACAGAAAGACAAATTGTATTTAGTGGGAGGCTTCTTCACATTCTCTGTGAAGAAGGACGATTCAACTCAAATTCAATTCAAAAATACTTTATTGATCCCAGAGGAAAAATAAATGTAGCTCGTATTAATTCAAAATTCTTCAAAGAGAAATTATGGATGATGTTGGATGCTGACAGGAAACATCTCCTGTAACAGTTTGTATTACAGATAATTAGAAGAAGCATTTGCGCAAAAACAGGCTCAGTTGTATTAAGTGCAATGGGGAACTCAAAGATTCTGATCCTCACAGTGATGCCTCACGTTGCCCATTATGACAGATGGTGTGAATTTCCTCCTCTCTGTCAGACTGCTTCAGGAGATCTTTCCTGCTCACAGCTATCACTCTTTAAAGAAAATTGGGATCAACAAATAGTTCTCATGTGACAACACACTTTCAGGAACTTTGCAGTTGACTGCCATCTTTGTAGGAACCATCCCTAACTTGTCATGATAGTTGCTATGGAGTTGCTATCCCAGATGGGAAAATATGAGTGAATCAACGCTGAAACAACATTAGGCAGAAACATTGAATCCACATTAAACCCTGACATTGAAACGATATCGACAGTGGTCGGTGACTTACAGGTTGAATCAACATTATGGTTTCAACATAACTGGCACTATATCAATGTTGATTCAACCATCATCTGAATGTGGATCTACACATTTTATATTCAGTCAAAATTTGAATCTGATTGGTATCACTTTGGTTCCCTGATGCCTTCCTCCTGCTCTGTTGCATAACAAAGCCACTTTTTGACTGTATCGCAGTAGTCCATGATTCCAGCTTTGGGTCAAACTGCTGAAAAACAAACATAATAGTGATGAAGGTGCCGGTTTGGGCCTGCTAGAAGGACAATAAACAATTAAAAAGTTTTGAAACACATTGAAATATTAAATAGTGTACTGGTTATAGATCTGAGAACAAACACTGAAACTGTGCAGTTGCCCTTCTACACTCACAGCTCAATTAATAAGGACACACTAATCAATATTTATTTTAATATTAGTTCACATATATATAATCACATTTACCTGTCAAACTGCAGCATAGTATCATATTTGTGATGGTGCACTCATGTTAAAATGAGGCGATCGATATTCAAAGTAAAGGTCTGTTTATTAGAAGACTTAAAGTTAGAACTCATCGAATTGAAAAAATGATTTATAGTAAATTCAGTAGTGATGGACCATGTGAAGCCAGGCTTCAGGCATGTACCAAGGGGGTGTGTCAGATGAAGCCCCACTTTGATGCTTGTGTCATCTTGCTAAAAACCAAATGACTGACAACAAACAATGCCTCACATGAGTTTCATGACTGTTTCATTTTGCGTGTCGGTTTTCAAAATAAAAGCGTGACAAGACCTACCGCTTCATGCTTATTGTATTTCATCACGCATTTGTTTTCAGCAGTGGCCGAAATGCAAGGAACCTTGGCCAACATAGTTCATGAGTATTAATGATGGCACTCATCAAAATGTAATGTTTGTTGCAGGTTTTTACAGCTTTGGATTGTGACCTTAGGTACAGCTTCAGTGATGTGTGGAGAATCTTAAATTCTCTTTTTACCAGATCACACAGATAAGTTTGCACAAATTACCAGAGGCAGGGTTGCAAATTAAACACTTTTTATTGAGCTCACAAAAGCCTATGGGCAAAATAGTCCGTTTATTTTATTGTACAACAATGACCACACCAAAACCAGGAGTCTATGCTGGCCCTGGAAACCTTACAGCTGAAAACCATAATTAAAACCCAATTAAATAAAGTATGACTGCTTAGGGGAGGAATAATAATAAAGAAAACACAAATATAACTAAATGCACCCGAGTGTTGTCCAACAAAAACACTTGCACAAAAATCCCTGGTGAATACAGCAACTAAAAGAAAAACTCCCCTTTCACTCATCTCCTCAATCTCTAGATTAAAGCAGCTTGGGATCCAGGGACAGCATAGGTCCTTTTATTTTACAGACTTAAAGAGGGCTAGATGATAAAAAAAACTCCCCTTCTTCAGACAAAACCCCCCAAAAAGAATATACTTTTGAACAATAATAACTATCCAGAAAATAAATTCTAAAATAACACTGAAATTGAAACAAACTAAAACTGAAACAGTAGTAGGCCAACCTTCACACAAAGAAGATAGTTAGACAAGCAACGTAAGTAGCCAGATAATAAGTAGAAACTGCCTTTACCTTCTCTAAAGGGAAACAGTTAACGGTGCTCTGTACGTCTTCTCTAGAAGTTTGTTACCTGCAACAATCAAGTGGAGGCATCAGAAATAATTCTAAACCCCCATACACTAAATGATAAACATACCTCTGGATGAATCATCAGCCTGGGATATGAAACCCTCAGTGATCTTCCTGCTTTTAAATGTAAATGCTGATTACCTGTCTCCCTAGTAAACCAGCTGTGCTCTCTGATTGGTATCAGCTCTCTGAGGGCAAGAAGAAGAGTGCCCAGCACCATACTTCCAGGACAAGATGCCCCAGCTACATTATTATGTTATGTTTTCTGACTTTATACTTGTGTGTTTTATTATGTAAAGCACTTTGAAACTGCATTGTTGCTGAAATGTGTTACACAAATACACTTGACTGAAATAAAACCAGCAAGAGGAAAAAAATATTTTATTCCCACAAGATAAAATAATCGTGTGATTCTTTTATTACAAGATTCTTAAATAAAAATAATTAACCCCTTCATCTCCAAAATTCTCAACTTCTTGAAAGTTCCACTTTTTCTTTGTTATGCAAATATATATCAGTCTTGCAGTGGAAAAAAAGACTTAGAGCTGTTGGAAGAGTAAAATTCTGGCTGATGAGTAAAAATATAAGGGATCAGATCAGAGAAGCAATAGAAATCCAAGAAAAAGATAACTTTTTAAGAACTTTAGTTTCAGGAAGCAAACTTTGTGACAATATTGCATTTACTAATTTTTTTAACCCTCTGATGCATAAGTGGGTCCTTTTGGACCCGGTGAGGCCATATTTTTGCAAAATCTTTGTAATGCAAAGTTTTCATCGCTTCATATTCCAGGTATTCCTCAAAAAATATGTTACATCACACAATTCAAATTTTTAATTGACCTTTTGTACATTTTAAGATATATCATGTTTTATATTACTACCCCATTCTTCTATAAGTGGCCCACATTCATTTCCTATGGAATTTAATGGGAATCTTTGTTTCTTACCAGCTGTGACTGTCAGGAAAACATTTTTTTGTGAACTATACACACTAAGTGTCACCCTGAATAATAATATTTTTACACATCAAGAAGTCTTACATATAAGTATTATCTTTATTTTTACCTCACAAATGTGTGTGTGTGTCAATCATGAATACTGTAACAGTGTTATTGTCACAACTCAACATATTAAGCCTTCTTCAACGTTAGCCAACACCAGTTATCCAACCAACTAGCTAACATTACCACCTATATTTTATTGTGCATGTGTATTATTTGTGTGTGTGTGTGTGTGTGTGTGTGTGTGTGTGTGTGTCTGTGTGTCTGACACCCTGGATGAGAAAATCAAAGAGAGAAAATGTGTTGAATGACATGCAAAACCTGTTGATCAATATGTTCAAGGTTATTTCTTTTATCTTTTCAATAGATAAAACTAAAATTCATAGCTACGTAAATAAAGGCAAAAATAAATGAGCTGGAAAAGAATTGAGTGCCTTCTCTGGGTCGGGGGGGGGAGGGTGGGTGTCTTGCCCTCGGTTGAAGAGTTCAAGTATCTTGGGATCTTGTTCACCAATGAGGGAAAAATAGTGACAGGCGGATTGGTGCGGCATCTGCAGTGAAGCGGGTTCTGTGCCGGTCTGTCGTAGTGAAGAGAGAGCTGAGCCAAAAAGCAGAGCTATTGATTTACCGGTCGATCGACGTTTCCATCCTCATCTGGTCATGAAGCTTTGGGTCACGTCCAAAAGAACAAGGTCACGGATACAAGCAGCCAAAATGAGTTTTCCCCGTAGTGTGTCTGGGCTCTCCCTGAGAGATAGGATGAGAAGCTCAGTCATCCAAGAGGAACTCAGATTAGAGCCACTGCTCCTTCCCGTTGAGAGGAGCCAGTGAGGGGCATCTGGTCAAGATGCCTCCAGGATGCCTCACTGGTGAGGTGTTCTGGGCACAGAGGAAGACCCAGGACATGCTGGAGGGAGTGTGTTTCTCAAATGGCCTCTGAATGCCCTGGAATTCCCCTGGAGGAGCTGGAACAAGTGGCTGGGGAGAGGGAAGTCTTGGCCTCCCTTCTTAGGCTGTTACCCGTACAACCTGACCCCAGATAAACAGAAGAAGATGGATGGATGGATGGATAGATGGATGGATGGATAAATAAATGCCCATGCATACATAAACTCACATGCATGATACACATAGCATAAGAATACAGTCAGAAATGTTAACCAGCTTGGGTAGCTATCTAATTTCAAGAAATGTGCTTTCGCACCCCCCCCCCATGCCCACACACATAACGGATGTTGACATTGTCCCTTATTGACATTTCATCATTGCTGTTGTCATTTTGTTTTAAAAATGTTCTACAAATTATTCTAAAAACATTAAAAAACTTGAAAAATCTAAATATTTCAAACATGAAATAATTCTTCTGTGAAATAAAACAAAGGTCACAGGAGAAAAGGAAATCATTACATCTATGGAAATGAAAGAGGAAGAACAAAGAAACTGTCTTCTTGTTCTCTGCTTCTTGTGAAGCAGAATTCACCAAGCGTTGGATTGTTCACCAACTATTAGGGAATGTGAGCTGGGGTTAGACCGTCGTGAGACAGGTTAGTTTTGCCCTACTGATGATGTGTTGTTGCAATAGTAACAAAATTAAATTATCATACTAATTTTGAATTAAAATGATAAAAGTAACAAAAACACATTAATTGTAACCCACGTCAAAAAGACCCACTCACACAAGACTGTAGTCATTCACTCATGCATCAGAGGGTTAAGTATGTCTATCTGAGTGACTCGGCTGTCAGTTTTCACAGCAGTTGTCACTAGTGAGAAATGAATGAACCACTGAGTAATGAACCTTTGGATGAAGCAATGGGCTGGGATGCTTCATGAGGCTTTATTTGGCCATCACTAACTCCAACTGCTGCTGGATCCATCTCTCTCGATCAATTGTGCCCATAATGCCTTTTTCCACATCTGAAGCTGCTAACCTCACCTCTATTTTGGTCAGGTGCTTCTGTCATGAAGTGGGGTGTAGATGGTGAGGAGAAAAGCGGTAGACCTAGGTAGAAATGAAGGTAATGATGATTTGATGACAAAAATCTCAACAATCCAGACATCCCAACCTAACCCTATCATGGATGACTACATTTCTATACTTAAACAGTTTGAGAGACAAGAGACATGAAACATAAGATGGGGGACGAACAGAATGACGTAATAAGACTGGAGGACTTAACGTAAGACCTGGGAGAAAACTAACGTGAGCAGGTGGCCCTCAAGGACTCACTTTGAGCAACACTGGATTAGACGATGGCATGAACTTGCTTCCCTAGTCTTTCAAATCTTATGAAATCATCAAATAAACCAAAGAAACAAAGCAGGACAAAGAAATGATAAAGTAAATGTTGGATCTTTTCCAGTACCCAACAGTATTCCTAAGGACACTGTTTCAGCCCAAATGTATTTAATGCTTTATATACAAATCAAGTTAGAGCAGTGTTTCTCAATTATTTTCTGTCATGCCCCCCAAAAATAGTACACTCAAAATATACTAATCAAGCACATTTGTATTACATAAAAAGCAATACACTTAAAGTATACCAAGTACAACTTCAATTGCTCTAAATAACATACATGAAAGTACACTTTAATCCAATTCAAATATTATGAAAATACACTAAGCACAACATAAGTTCCAAAATGTTACACTTTAAATTAATTCTAAGTAAACTTAAAGTGCACCAATTTATACTCATGATTTGTCTGACTTAAAGTATGCTGACTTTAGTGTATTCCAACGTATACTAAAATTTTAAATACTTAGTGTATTTATTTTTCGCCAGGGTTTCTTAGCATGACAGGATCAATTTTAAGAATACCACATTCAGAATTTGCAGACAGGTTTAATCAGGAGGTTGACCTCTTTCATATTTCAACTTTAATTGTGTATACATCTGAAAACAGCAAGTATGAAAATACATAGGTGGAACAGCAGACATTAAGTCCTTTCTTTGCATGTGTGCAACTGAGCATACATGTTTTACCACCTATCAAACTATTCTTCCCAGAAAAATGGCTTTGGGGTATTTGTCCCTCAGATATGACCACTGCACAAAAAAATAGTCAGATATCAGGTACAGGATCCTGCCAGTTAAAGACAGTGTTTGCACTCGGCAAATGCTTTCAACATACACTATCCCGACTTTCTTTATTCCCAGAATTCTGAGGAAAAGTCCAGTTATACATAGAGGAATGCAGGTCCCTGGACCATTACACAGCACCTGTGAAAACACAAAGAAACAAAGAGAGGGCTGAGCACATTTCCAGGATGTAACACTGACAAAGATCAGAGCATGTTTGTCTCTTCAGGATGGTAAATGGGGCATGCAATGTAAAGTTGGCTTTAATCGGAGAAATGGATGTTGTAAACACACTTATTCAAAGTTGAAGGCAACATTTAGACAAAATGCTTCTCATGCTATGAACACAAAGTTGAAATAGAGATGAAGTGATTGGGATTCTTACCGGCCAATACTGATTCATAGTTTTTCATTCCAATGTGATTTTCTCCAGTGGGTAATAAACATGTTATACCATTATTCCCAAAGATACGTGGAACGGTAGCCATTTTTATTTATATGTAGGTTTTGGTTTTAACTTTCTAGGTTTGTCAGTTGCATTATTTATTGAAGGACTCACTCCCTGACTGAGCTTGAGGTTACTGGTTCTCTCCCTGGCTGTGAACCTTGTCACAGGCCTTGACGCTCGCATCCGCATTGCTGCTGCTCAGGGATTCTGGCTGCAAGCCGATGGCTCGTTCGCAACTGTCAGTGCCAGTCATCCTCAACTGTGACCGTTCTCTCAGCAGCTTGCTGTCTTGCCTCCCTGTAATTAGTCACAGGGAGACACCTATAACTAATTACATAAGTTTATCCCATCTGTGGCGATGAAAGATGGAAATAACGGGGCGGCTGGACAGAACACAGGACAGAGAGAAACAGAAACAATGAGGGCATTGTCAACACTGAGCCTGCTTGCCAGGGACTGGGAGGCAAGACAGTAAACTGCTGAAAAGATGGGAACTAGGCATGCAGAGATCAACCAGGTACCAGCATTGATTTGCAGCCAGAAGCTCTGAGCAGCGGTAGCAAGGATGCATAAGAGAGGAGTAGCCCCAAGGAAACCGAGAGAGGAAGGTTGAAGTGACCTGAGCTGGAACTTGCCTGTTACAACCCGTCTAGGGGTGGCCAGGTCATAACACGAAGGATCCATCCTCTTCAGAGCTCAAGCAGCAAAGACACATGAAGTTGAACATTTTATAATGTTATTTATTTTTTTTAAAAAGATGCATCTTTGGTGTGAGATGTTACAACAAGGGGAGCATATGACTTCAGAGTGAGCTAATGCCGAAAACAACAAACAAAAGGAAGCTATATGAATATTAATCGACTTACCTAATTAAAAGTAAAGAAACTAAATGACAAAAACTTACCTCCCTAACTAAGAAAAACAGGAGAAAACTAATGAAACATAAAGGGCAGCTCCCTCCTACAAACGCCAGGACTTTACATGATTTTACAGACAAACAGTGTGGACGGTTGAGATGAGGATGGATGACAGGAAGTGCGCGTCTTCAGCTTTTATATCCGTCACATCCGGGACGTCTCCGTCGTCTTTCGGGAACCAATCAGAGACAGGCACCTGCACACTCATATTTGCATAATTAAAGGGCGCCAGTCGTAACACTTTCACTCAACATTATTGTGCATGTTGGCCAGATGAAGAGGAGGGTCCTCCCGGGCCTGAGACAAGGACCGGATGAAAGGAGGATTGGGGGAGATACGAGGCCTGGCGCCAGAGAGCTGGATCTATGGCTCGGGGTCAACCACAAAAGGACTGCAGGTGGGAGCCAACTGTTAACTATTATTGTTAAGGCTTCTCAACATTTTAGTATTGCATTGTGCTGTGATGTTTTAAGTAAAGGTCTTAGCCATCACTTACTGTACAGTTTTTTAGGGTCCAGATGTATAAAATCAAGAAAATGTAATCACAGGAAGCCAAAGAAGTCCAACAAATTTGATTTGAGTCTACAACTTGGATTGCTCTTTGGCAGCCACCTACAGAGAACATCAATGCTACTACTTAGTGTGTCTGCACAATTATTACTCAAATTGTAGATTTGAGAATTAATTTCATTGTTGAACATCTACTGCACTCTCTGTCAATCCAAAATGTTAATAACCTCTCAAACCTGAATATTTAAGAAAGTAAAAGTGAGATTTTGGCTTTTTTAGTACAATATCTATGTGTGCAGAATTATTGTGCAACTGAATTCAAACTGAAACTTTTCCCATCTCACTTGTTTGTTGTTATCTTTAAAGTGAGAATACTAAATACACAACTTAAAATTGACAAACTTTTCTGACATTTGAAAAATATATCAGTGACCAATATAACCACCTATCTTTTCAATAACAGTTATAAGCCTTTCACTCATAGATTCTGTCAGTTTCTTGATCTGTTAACGATCAACTTTTTGTGCAGCAGCAACCTCAGCCTCCTAGACACATTGGATCAGAGATGTGATGAAAAGCTCACAATTTCTCTATGGGGTTTAGTTCTGGTGAGGAAGGGGGCCACTTCATTCTTCTTTCATCTTTAAATCCTTTACTGGCCAGACACATAGTGGAGTACTTTGATGCATGTTATGGAGCATTGTCCTGCATAAAAATCATGGTCTTCTTGAAAGATGCAGATATTTTCCTGTATCACTGCTTGAAGAAAGTGTCTTCTAAAAACTGTCAGCAGGTTTGGGAGTTGATTTTGAATCCATGTTGAACCTGAACAGGTCCAACTATTTCATCTTTAATGATACCAGCCCATACCAGTACCTCGCCTTGCTGCCGTGGAGCTCTGTGCCCATTACTGTGGAGTAAAGAGCAGGTCCATCCATGTGGTCCATAAAGAGTCACTCTCATCTCATCAGTCCATAAAGCTTTGGAAAATCTTTCTTAAAATCTGTCTTGGTCCGGTTTTGACATTTCAACAATATCTCTTGTTCAGTGATGGTCAGGTTTCAGCCTTCTTTACCTTGGCCATGTCTCTGAGCTCTGAACATCTTGTACTTCTGGAACTCCAGGTAGGTTGCAGTTCTGGAAGAAGATAATGGGTTCCTGACAGCTTCATGTTTGAGTCTTCTCAAATTTTTAGGAGTTTGTTTACGTCTTCTTTACTCAACAAGTTTCTTGTGACCCTGTTTACAATTTGCAGCAAAACATTCTGCAAATGTTTTGCAAATGATTGGCCAAAGGCCAAATGCGGATAAAAGTATGAAGTGGCGTGTGAATTGGAGAAACGCACCTACCACCATGGCAGGCTGGCAATTAGAACAAAAAAAAGAATGGATGGATGGATGGATGGATGGATGGATGGATGGATGGACGGACGGACGGACGGACGGACGGACGGACGGACGGACGGACGGACGGACGGACGGACGGACGGATGGATGGGGAGGACTGACCATCTGGATTACAGACTGATGCACATACTGTATATGAGGTGGCCATAATCTGTCACGATTTAACAAGAAAATTGTATCAAATATAATTTGTATAGAGCTTCGGGGCGTGACGTCACTGCTCTAGGCGGAAGAGAGCTGAGTGCCGTGTTGTTTGGCCACAAACATAACCAAGAATAGAACAAAGCCGACTGTCTCACAAATATTTTAAATTTTTGAATATTTTAAGTTACTTAAAATAACTTAGCAATGGTACAAACTTGCAGCGTTATTGGGTCAATGTTCGATCACATGACCAAAACGATAAAAAGATGGAAAACAGACTTTAGTTTCACAGTTTTTCTGCTTGTGAACAACACCAGGGAGCTAAGCTATCGGAGTTAACAAAAAGGAGACGAATGTCCTGGTATCAGCAGTGAGACATCCGAATATCACCTTCTCCAACATCTCAAAATACCTAAAAGTTTGCTCCAGACAAGTCCATTCAGGTGAGTTTCTAAATTCCTTTGTTGTTGGTGTTTCATAATGTTTAGCTATGATTTGTCCAGGTTACTCATGTTCAATTCTGTTGAGTTCATTTAAGTGGGTCAACCTTGTTTAGGTTGGGCTTTTATTTTTTATGTAGCATAGTCCGAGTTTTGTCAGTGGACATCAAGGTTATTCAATTATTGCTAAGTAAACTGTTTAAGTTTTCTAGTGTTATAATTTACAGTATCAATACTGATGCGTGTTCTGATGTCTCCTCTTCAAGGCAAACTGTCCTATGAAGTGAATGAGCTCAATCCAGACTGGGTTCCAAAGCTGAATCCGGGTCACTGCGAGGTAAACGCCACAACATCAGACCCACATGCGCCTCAATTAAAGAGGCGATACAGCAAGACCACGGTGGACCGACAAGTGAGGGAACAAGTTACAGAAACATCACAAGAGGTAAATAATGAAAGCACAGAAGGGGAGGCTGTAGAAGAGGAGCGACTTCAAGAGGGTGAGGAGGAAACTCCAGGAGAGGAGCTCAGCAAGGCAACAAACTCTGAAGATGAACATGAACCAGCGGCAAAAAGGCAACAAATAGAGAAGAAATGAACCGCCTGTTACAGGGAGCTCAGGTCAGAGCTGAATAAACAAACAGCTGGACACAGATTTTCTCAAGGATGACACTAAAAAAGTAAAATATCATACATTTGTCATTTTTAAAACGTTTCAGAGTGAACAATAAAGGTGACAAGAAAATTTTATGAAATAAATCACACTTTAAATAAATACTTGTTGGAGTTAATATATTTCAGGTAAGTGAACATGTTATGAAGTAGATCCTGTCCTAGAATTTTATGTCAGTGAACATTACAGGTAACAAATGTGCAGAGAGAATCAAAAAACATGTTTCTGTCAAGGTTTTGGGTCACTCACCACATCAGGCTGGAGTCTGAACACCAAAGGGAGGGAGTATCTCAGAGCGTTCAGGGTACTAACAACAGAGGAACTCCATGACTGGGCCACCTCTCGGCTCCGTGGGATCCGGTTGATGGTGAACTAAACAGTTAAAACATAGTCAGGATTTTTTTCTTTTGGATCTGTAAAAGAAAGTAAATAATTACTCTCTAAACCTGACAACTTCCTGCTTCATAGCTGGCAAGAAGAAGTGTTTGAGATAACAGGCAATGAGTAATTTTTATCATTGTGGAGGAGTGATGTCTAGTTTTTGCAGAATTGTTTTCAAATAGCCACATTGGAAGATTTTTAGCATCAATGTGGTGTTGAAGATCATCTAACAACAATTTAATCCATAAATTCAGATGTTAACCAGGGGAATCCCAACTTTTTATTTTGTGTTTATTTTTCTTTTAGTCCTAATAGTTCAACGGTTCTATTTCAGTTAAGTGCTTTTTCTGTTTGCATCACAATAAATTTATAGTGTTGTAGATATACTGGCACTTTTAGATTGAAATATATATTATTTTTCTTGACCACATATTAAGCTAATTTCTTTAGTTTTACTGATGTGTCGGTAACATTGTTTTCTGATAAACTGACAATTGTTGTACAACCTGAAAAGAAAAACTTGAGCAATGATGGAAGATCTCTGAATTATAACATACTTTATTGATACATAGGCTTAATAGATATTGACATCTTAAATTCTAAGATGTTCCAGGTCAGGATTTTTTTTCTTTCCCATGTCGGTGCACTTTTGGCCTGGAGTGACCAGAGACCTCAAGACCTGCTTCTTCTGAATTTGGATGGCGAGCCCCAGCCCAGAGAACCCAGTAGATAGTGACCCGACTGGTCACTATCCTTGAAATACTAAAGAGAATTAACTGACACATTGGAAAATACTGTTCTTTATTTCATTTTATTTTTTGTTTTAAAAAAAATATCACGCATGTTCAATTGTACATGTGGATCCACAATTGTTTATATTATTAAATTGTACTTTTTCTTATTCACACTGTGTATTCTCCTCTGTTGTTATTCACACCTAGGCTCCCTAGAATTTTGAATCTTTTGATCAGGCCCAACTTTTTGAATATACTTGTATAGTAACGGTATTAGTTATATCAAATCAAATTTTATTTGTATAGCACATTTCAGCAGCAAGGCATTTCAAAGTGCTTTACATCATAAACACAAAGTCATGCAACATAGAATAAACAATATATTGTTTCATATTACATTTCAAAAACAATTCTAAACAGAATGTGTTTTTAGTTGAGATTTAAAGGAAGTCAGGGTTTCCTCTGTTTTACAGTTTTCTGGAAGTTTGTTCCAAATTTTTGGTGCATAGATGCTGAAAGCTGCTTCTCCTCTTTTGGTTCTGGTTCTGGGGATGCAGAGCAGAACCAGAACCAGAACCTGAGAGTCTGGAAGGTTGATACAACAACAGCAGATCTTTAATGTATTGTGGTGCTAAACCATTCAGTGATTTATAAACTAACAACAGTATTTTAAAATCTATTCTTTGAGCTACAGGGAGCCAGTGGAGGGACTTTAAAACTGCTGTTATGTCTCTATCTTCCTGGTTTTAGTGAGAACAGGAGCAGCAGCTTCTGGATCAGCTGCAGCTGGAGGATTGATTTGTTGGACAGGCCTGTGAAGACGCTGTTACAATAATCAATGCGACTAAAGATAAACGCATGAATGAGTTTCTCTAGATCTGGCTGAGACATTAGTCCTCTAATCCTGGAGATGTTCTTCAGTGATAGAAGGCTGACTTTGTAATTGTCTTTATGTGGCTCGTAAGGTTCAAGTCCGAGTCCGTCACTACTCCCAGGTTTTGGGCCTGATCTCTAGTTTTTAGTTGTAATAACTGAAGCTGTGCATTGACTCTAGATCTATAGCTCTAGATCTATAGCTTTAGATCTATAGCTCTAGTTCGTTCCTCTGTAGGTCAAAAATAATGACTTCAGTTTTGTTTCTGTTCAGCTGGAGAAAGTTTTGACACATCCACACATTTATCTGTTCTAAACATTTATTCAGTGATTGGATGGGGTCAAAGGTCACCTGGTGACATTGTGATGTAGAGCTGTGTGTCATCTGCATAGTTATGGTAGCTAATATTATTTCCTATTATAACCTGAGCTAGTGGGACAATATAAATATTGAATAAGAGGGGTCCTAGGATTGAACCTTGGGGCACCCCACATGTGACCTTTGACCTCTTTGATGAGAAGTTTCCAATTGAAACAAAGAAATCCCTGTTCTTTATGTAGGATTCCAACCAGTGAAGCACTGGACCGGAGAGTCCGACCCAACTCTCCAGTCGATTCAGTAATATGTCAAAAGCTGCACTGAGGTCCAACAGAACCAGCACTGTGGTTCTCCCACAGTCCGTATTTATATGGATATCATTGCTGTTTGTCCAAGTGGGTCAAAGAATAAATAACTTTCATAGATAACAGCAAAGTGATCCGACAGTGCGATTTCAGTTACAGAGACATTGGAAATATTCACACCATTACTGATAACCAGGTCCAGTGTGTGTCCTTGAGTGTGTGTTGCTTGTTTCACATGTTGTGTTAAACCAAAATTTTCTAAAATATTAAAAGCTTTTTTGCCCCTCTGTTTTGGGGTTTGTCCACATGAATGTTGAAATCACCAACAATTATTAATCAATCATAATCAATGCATATGAGAGATAGAAGATCATTCAAGTCAGTAAAGAAATGTTCCACGTATGTTGGAGTTTTGTATAAAGTTAGTGTCAAAGTTCATTTGTGGCCTTCAATCTCAATTCTTAGATACTCAAAAGAGGTGAAATGACCCAAAGAGATTTTACTACAATTTATGGTTTTCTTAAATATACAAGCCACGCCTCCTCCTTTTTCATGTTTTTTATTCTCACTTAAAAAATTGTAGTTAGGAGGCGCTGATGAGGGCATCATGTCACAGAAAGCAGGGGTTTCCAGATCTATCTCCAATTAACTGTGCCAGTCAATCAAAAGTTTCTAAACCCATGATGTCATTATCTGGGTTTTCAGTCACTATTTACAGAAATAGTAATTATTCTGTACTTAAACCTCTGATTTTGAAGTCAATTATTAAAAAGATCCTTGACATGTTCTCTCTCTCTCTCTATTGTGGCATTTAACCATTCAGGTAATTCAAGCTGATCCAACACGAGAAGTTCCCTCTGATTTAACTTCAGTCAGTGAGAAAATCAGATGTCAGTGAACTTTTGGTTTCAACGATAGATTTCAGCAGCTGCTCTGGTTCTCCCTGCTACTTACTACCGCAGTAAAATCGACACATCAGTGCCTGTACCTGGACGTCAGCGTCTGACTTTGGTTTAGAACTTTCAAAGGCGACAATTTTCTCCTCACTCATCTTGTCAGTGTCAGCGATCACGTAGTGTCGAGGTGTGTAGGCAGCGGAGAGGCTCTCCATCAGCCGCATGATCTCGGTGGTGTGACCACCTGGAAACACGGAGAGCAGACAAACAGGAAGAGAAACGAAATCAACATGCAGCTGCATCACCCAGGGACACTTGGTCACCAGTTTCTTTTTACTGATGATGGTCACTAAAGTGAACACAGGACACCTGTCCTGATCTGGTCAGACACGGTGGTGCGAGCCAGAAGAGACTGTTCCAGCTGTGGACCTGACCAACTGCCTGCCTCCATGTTGAATCTTACCTGATCCTGCAACGACCAGAACCGCAACATGGCTTCTGGTTTTGGGCGGATGATTAGATCCCGAATTGAAGACAAAATAAACCCGAAGAAGAAATAATAAAGCTGTCAGGAAAAAAGATAACATAACCCCAAAAAGCAACATGACAGCAACTACGGAAGCAGTTTTAGACCAAAAGACATTACTTCTTCTTCTGAATGGCATTAATTCTGTTGCATTGCGCCCCCTGTGGTTTGTTTCAGTGACAACTCAACTTCCATAAAATCTGCGTTTTTGCTTTTTCAGTGCTGCAGAAGAAAAAGCGTTCAAGAAGCATTAATGTACAAAGTGGCAAAGCAGGATAGTAAAACACATTAACTAACTAAAAGTCCACTTCATTAGCAATTACAATAAACCAAAAATGGAATTATAGCATACTGTAATCACACAACTAAATAAGATATGTAATGCCAATATCACTAAAATACATTTTAAATATATTTTAAATGTAATTCAATCACAAAAATAGTACACTCAAAATATACTAATCAAGCTCGTTTATATTACATAAAAAATAATATACTTAAAGCATACTAAGTGTACTGTAAGTTGTTCAAAAAGTACATTTAGTACACTTTAAATACTATTAAAATACACTAAGCACACAATTAGTTGTTCCAAAATGTCACACTTTAAGTTAACTAATCCTAAGAGAACTTGAAGTATACTGATGATTAGTCTGACTTAAAGTATGCTTAGGTACACTAAAATTTAACACACTTTCTGAAAAATCTCCTGCTGTTAAACATATGACAGATTACTGGATAAAGACATTTTTCGTTGCTCATTTTTGGTGGCTCAAACATACTATCGCACAAAATCATTGAGAATTTGAAACGTTGCTCTTTATTTGCCAAAGTTATGAGGGGCTGGGGAATATTTCAGCTGCCTGGATTAATCAGTTCCTCCTCCATTCCTTAGAAACAAATTACTTTATCAAAAGGTCTTTCACTGTTTTTCTTCCTCTCTTCATCAACAATAAATCCTGAGGATTTGGTAGCAGTCTGCATACATCTTCTTTTACCAATGCTGAAGCAGGTTTCTCCAAGTCTTTCTCACTAACTGGGAAAAGAGAGGAGATGGTGTATTGGGCTCTAAATATGGAGTGTAGCTGAAAATATTGATCTAAACCAAACAATGAATGGAACATTGGTTCCACCATGGAAACAGTCACACAGTCTTTAAATATGATTTTTAAAACAACAATATGGTTATTACAATCATATTTTCATAAATATAAATGTAGCCTATTTAACATTACATTAACTTATTGGGTAACTTATAGTAGCTATTGGTTATTGTGTAACCTGGTTGAATTTATATGTTGTTATAATTACTCAAAATGTTTTTCTTTGGTTATTTGTATGGGTTCCTACCTGACTGAAAATCTCTGTTATTGTTTTAACTGTGTTACTTTAAGAACGGAAGCCCCTCCCCTTTTGTTTCTTCCTCTGTGGTATTGCCTTTAAAATGTTTGCGTCCCTTAGACCCCCCCTTTTGTCATGTTGTCCTGTGGGAGAGGTGTGCATTATTTATTTTGTATCTAAATACATCCAGTTTATTTATAGATTTATTAAGTTAATTTCTGTTATGTACTTTTGTTTATGTAGGGCTTGGAGCGGGCAGCCTGTAACACGGTTATTTCTATTTGTTATTCTTGTCAGAATAAACCCTTTTAAAGGTGAACCACGGCCTGATCATTTAAAACCAGCACAACGCAGATCGGATCCGGTTACACTTGCACTGAATTTTTTTCTTCTACTTGAGTAAATATTTTCATTGCTTCCCTAACTTGATTGATTTTATATTTAAAGAAATGACTCCAGAGACTGGAAACTTATTTTTAGATTTCTGCAATGTAGAGCTCATGTTTATATAAATCTGAGCTTAATTACTCAACATTTTATATATGTCTCTGTTTACATCCTTATAGTTTATTTTGTATTAATAAACATTGTTATTTCATTTGAAAGTTTAAAAAAATAAGCCAATGCCACCCTGAGCACCATTCCCTGCTAAATTACTGCAGAGCTGGGCTGAGCTGTCTAAAATTGTTTTTGATATATTTGATCTTTCGCATGACTGCATAAATATTTTGAAGAACGACAGAGACTAACCAGCATGCATTGCCTCCAGGGCATGATTAATTGGATGAGGTGAAGACACCCGTGTGAAATCACGCGCCATGCCTTCTCCAATTCCCGTCACGCGCCTGTTACGGAAAGACGTCTACCCGTCGGCAGACATCGCGGCTTGGAGCAGCCCGCTCTTTCAGCTGTCCCTAGGGCCCACCCTGCAGGTCCCTCCCCAGCGGTTTCATGGTAAAGTCGCAAGCCGCCTCTGGTCCTCCGTGATTCAATGGGATCAGCTGCGCTCCGTGGAGGTTGTGGGCTCCGGGGGCTTCGGCTCCGTGTACAAGGCGGAGTACCTCGGGGAAACTGTTGCGCTGAAGAAAGTAAAAAAGAGCACAAAGAACAAACTGGCCTCCCGACAGAGTTTCTGGGCTGAGCTGAACGCCGCACATCTCCACCATAAAAACGTCGTGCGCATCATCGCCGCAAGTACGTGCGTGTTGGCGGACCTGGAGGAGGAAGCGATCGGAGCCATCGTCATGGAGTTCGTGGGCAGCAGAAATCTGCAGCAGATCATATATGAGAGTTCGGAGGAGCTCGGGGAGGATCGCTGGCTGAAGTTCTCCACGGACATCGTGAAGGGCTTGAGCTTCCTTCACTCCCACAGCGTTGTGCATCTGGACATCAAACCAGCCAACGTGCTGGTGTCACGGGGAGAAGTGTGCAAAATTGCCGATTTTGGTTGTTCCCTGAAGCTGGAGCGTGACTGTGAAGTGAGCGCCGTCAGCCCCCAGGTCAGCCACGGATGTGGCACGTATTCACACCGAGCCCCGGAGCTGCTCAAAGGGGAGCAGGTGTCTCCTAAAGCGGACATCTTCTCGTTGGGGATAACCATGTGGCAGCTTCTGACCAGAGAGCCACCCTACACGGGAGACAGGCAACACGTCCTTTATGCTGTTGTGGCGCACAATCTGAGGCCGTCTGTATGTGACCACTCGGTGTTTCTGTCTGTGCTGGGGAAGCGCTGTGCGGCGTTGCTGGGCCGCTGCTGGAGCGCAGATGTCCGCTGCAGACCCAGTGCTGAGGATGTGCTGCATCAGCTTGAGCTCCTAAGGTCCCTTAGGTGATTGTGTGTTATTTTGTTATTATTATTCATTCTTATTTTGGAGAGTTTCGCAGCTCTCAGTTGGGACATAATGTGCCTCAAACTTAAACGTCCAGAGGAGGTGAAGACTTGGGTTCTGCCTTCTAATCAGTCAGCAGACCAGCCTTTTTTTTCCAGCAACTCCACATGTATTTTTTGTTATCTAAAATTGATTCAAATATTTTCATTTAAATTGTTGTAACCATATATATATATATATAAAAACACACACACACGCACGCACGCACTCACACACATAAATTTAATATTAATTCATTAGGCCCAATTCCCATACTATAGTTCTCAAGCTGTAAATATATTTTTAGGCAATGGTTAAGAAGACTAGGGCTGCTGACAAAAAAGAATTTGATTAAAATTTTAAAAATCTGATTAAAATCTGATTTTTAAAATTTTTTTAGTGGCCCTAATCCTCTTCTTGGAATACTGTACTTATTAGGAAACATTTCAGTTCCTACTTAAGTTTTTGGTTTTTAGATGACTATTTGTATGTTAAATTTAAAGTAATTATTGTTGATATGAATAAATTCTAGAAATATGTCACTCAGTTTGGCAGCATGTACTTCCATTGAGATTGTTTTCTTTTTCATTCCCAGGAGGAAATGCATTTTTGGACAATCATTTTTCTTTGTTTTGGACTCTATGCAGTTTTTTTTAAAATTTAGTTAGTATTTTCCATCAATAAGAGCCAACATATCTAAACATCACAAGGTACCCTGAAGCATTACAAGCACTGAAGAGGTTGACAGATTGGAATGGACTTGAGTGAGGCTGGATTGCTACATCCTGCAATGGCTGGATCTGTTGCCAGGTGTTGGAACCAGGCATATGCGTGAGGACAGTGTTGTTGTGAACATATCTAACTTTGAGACTTGGGGCTGTTTATGCTGCATCCATGAGACTTCTAGTGATCTTGACTTATTTTAGCTAATAAAAGCAGAAGTGACTGCCTAATTCTGATGGAGACTGCATGACTCCTGGTGTCATCCTGGACATCCCAGTTCTTTTCAAACCAAACAATGACTCTGTATCTAAAGCAGATGTAATGAATGATGAGGCTTATCTGCACACACTGCTCTATTTTTAGAAACCTAAATGTGCAATGTCCTAACTTGAGACTCTCCAAAAGGCTGTGTGTGATGTTACAGCTTCCTGTTTTCTGCTTGATTAAATATAAGCAGGAAAATACAAATCAAACTCTCCCATCAACAATCAGCATAGGAAAATATACAATAACACAAATGCCTAGACATGTTATCTCTAAATCTTCCTTATTTACAGACCATAAAATTAGAATATCATACTTACATCAGTAATACCATTCAAAAAGTGAAACTTGTATATTATTGCACACAGACTGATATATTTCAAATGTTTATTTCTTTTAATGTTGATAATTATAACTGAAAACTAATAACCTCAAATTCAGTGTCTCAGAAATTTAGAATATTATTTTTTAAGACCAATAATAAAAAAGGATTTTTAGAAATGGTGGCCAATTGAAAAGTATGATCAAGAAAAGTATGGGCATGTTCAGTACTTAGTTGGAGCGAAAACTTCCTGGTAGATGGCTGTGTTGCTCTTGGACTCCAGAAAACAGTGGCCTGACACCCGCAGATGACCTGACCCCCCCAAACCGTCACTGATTGTGGACATTTTAGACTGGACCTTGAGCAACATGGATTCTATGCCTTCTTCCTCCAGATTCTGGGACCTTACCAAATCAGTCTACAACAAATGGAAACACTACTGGCAGTCAACATACAGGATTAGATTGGCTGCAAATGATCTGAATATGAAAGTTAAATAATCTGCTGAAACTTTACATTCCCGTTTAGTATCATACATACATAACACTGGCTGGGATGAAAGCATCTCTTTCAGTTCTTTAAATGCTCTGGCCTGATCAACTCTCCATCCAGCAGTTTTTCTTTGACAAAAGATTCCTCAAAGGCTTGTCTTGCTCTGCTAATTGTGGAATAAACTTCCCCAGCTGGTTAATCTTTTCAAGGAACCTTCTCAGTTCACTCACATTTCTTGGTTTCTTCATCTTTCTCACAGCTTCTGTTTTATTTGGATTAGGACTAACTCCGTTAACGGAGATAATGTGGCTCAAAAATTTTACACTCTGCTTTGAAAGATCACATTTATCAATGTTCAGTGGATATCTATCATGTTTGGGATGGAGAGCTGCCACACTTATAACACCGAGAAATTTCCCTTTTATTATTTGTAGTGGTGTGTAACTTAAGTTGACATTTAGCCTTGGGATGCTTAACACTGCTTTTGTACACCCCGTTGACAGATTTTCCATTTTTCTGTGTCTGATTTGGCATAAGACAGGATTGCTGCTGTTTCACCTCTTCACTTTGTCTTGCTGAATTGATGGCCTTTTCCAGTGTCAAATCTGGGTCGCGCTGCAGATGACCTTTTATCCTGCAGTCCCACCACCAGTCTGTCACAAATCAGTTCATTATGTAGCGCTCCATAACTGCAATGTTCTGCTAGCGCATACAGTGAAGTAACAAAGACATCTATGGTTTCATATTCCTCTTGTTTGCTCATGTTAAATCTGGCTCGCTCATAAATGATATTTTTCTTGACAACGAAGAAATCTTGGAACCCATAACGAAGTTGATAATTGTTTCTTTGCTCATCTGGTAATCTAGTCACCGCAGAACATCATCTGCCTCATTTTCCGTCCAATAAATGAGCGTGTTGTCCTGGTTGTCCTCAGAACTAGAGTTCAAGTTACTTGCCAGACGAAACCGTTCAAATCGTCGTATCCACTTGGTTCACTCCTGCGGCTTTGTGAAGTTGAAAGACTCTGGCGGCTGGATGCTGAACGTTGCACATGGACCAGCAGAAGAGACTCTCTGTGCATTGTCATCAGCCATGTTTCCGGTAGCCAAATAGAGTTGCAGCTTCACGATGACTTACATCATCACTCCTGACACCATGACGTGTTATTAAGAAGAGTGCGCTGAGTCAAACTGTATCACTGTTAGTGGTTTATTCGGAATCACCAAACTTCCAACATAGGCTTCATCATAACAATCAACGTTACCTGGAATACCTGAGCCTGACGCTCTTTTCTGATGTCATCACAGGTGGCCATTTGTAGTTTTGAACCATGCGTAACATTAAGACCACACCTTAAAGCTTTCCATCCACGATATGAACACACTGGTCCTTGCAGGGTGGTGAGGGGGGCTGGTAGTGCCCATTTCCAGCAGTCATCAGATGAGAGGCAGAGTTCACCCTGGACAGGTCACTTGTCTGTCACATGGCCCTGAAAACTAACAATAAATACAATGTATGAAAGAGAAATGGTAGATTAACAAGGGGGGGAATTCTGTCCCATTATTTTAAAATGAAATGATATTTATTAAGCATTTACTGTTAGAAACACACCAGTTTTTGCTGTTAAAAATGCATTTTGAAGCAAACTTACCACCATCTAGCAATGCTTTAGGAGCCTTCGTCCCTTTAGTTTCTTTCATGACCCACATTTAGACTTAGAGACTTAGACTTAGACTTCCTTTATTGTCATTGTACAAAAAAAACACAAGGTGAATCTTGACAACAAAATGTCATTACTTGGCTACCAGTGTAGCAGAGCTAAAACATTATACTACCCAATAAATAAATAAATACAATACAAGTGCCATAGAATACACAGGTTCAGTGTTGTGAAAAAAAACTAAACTAAAGTGCATGTATTGACCATGTCCATGGGGGGGTCATTTGGTTTGTGAGTGTGTGGAGGGGTGTTATGTGGCGTTAAGCAGTCTGATGGCCCGGGGGAAGAAACTGTTCAGTAGTCTGGTTGTTCTGCACAAGATGCTGCGGAACCTTCTTCCAGACGCCAGGGGGGAAAACAGTCCATGGTTGGGGTGGGTGGGGTCGAAGAGGATCTGGTGAGCGCGAGATAGGCAGCGCCTCTCTGCGATGTCCTTGATGCAGGGGAGCAGAGCCCCCGTGATCTTCTCCCCTGTCCTCACCACCCTCTGTAGAGACTTCCAGTCAGAGGCCCTGCAGCTCCCAGACCAGATGGAGATGTAGCTGGTCAGTTGGCTCTCGATGGTCTCTCTGTAGAAGGTCTGAAGGATGGGGGTCGGGAGGGATGCTCTCTTCATCCGACGCAGGAAGTGCATGCGCTGCTGGCCCTTCTTCACCAGTGAGGAGATGTGGGGAGACCAGCTGAGGTTGTCGTTGATGTGCACCTCCAGGAACTTGGTGCTGCTGACGACCTCCACAGCTGAGTCGTTGATGAGGAGTGGTGTGTGGGTGGGTCTGGATTTCCTGAAGTCTACGATGATCTCCTTGGTCTTGTTGACATTCAGGATCAGGTTGTTTCCTCTGCACCAGTCCACCAGATGCCGCACCTCCTCCCTATAGGCCGTCTCGTTGTTGTCCCGGATGAGGCCCACCACTGTGGTGTCGTCCGCGTACTTCAGGATGTGGTTGGATCTGAAGTGTGGACGGCAGTCGTGGGTCATCAGGGTGAACAGCAGGGGGCTCAGGACACAGCCCTGAGGGGTGCCGGTGTTCAGGGTGATGACATCGGAGGTGTTGTTCTCCATTCTGACAGACTGGGTTCTGTCAGTGAGTATGTCCAGTAGCCAGTTGCAGAGGGGGGTGTTAATTCCTAAGGGGCCCAGTTTGCCCACCAGGTCTTGGGGGATGATGGTGTTGAACGCTGAGCTGGGTGTTCTTCTCCTCCAGATGCTCCAGGCTCAGGTGGAGAGCAGTGGAGACTGCATCCTCAGCACTGCGCTTGGACTGGTATGCAAACTGGAAAGGGTCGTGTGATGGGGGGAGCGTGGAGATGATGTGGTCCTTAACAAGTCTTTCGAAGCACTTTATGATGGTGGATGTCAGTGCGACGGGGCGGAAGTCGTTAAGGCATGTGATGGTGGTTGACTTCGGGACCGGAACGACAGTGGCAGACTTGAAGCACCGTGGGACGACAGCCTGGTCCAGGGACATGATTTCATTTCTATCCAGTTTTTGTCCTGTTGTGTTGTCATCTAACTCGGACGTCACAAGCTTGAATTTACAAAAACTAACTATTATCAAGACCGTCTCTACTTTTAAGGCAATATTATGCGTGTAAACATGGCGAATTTGAACAGCATTTCTTCTCCCGGCTTCATGGCTGTTCTTTTTATGGCGATTTGGAAAAAAAATGAAGGTCTGCATTACTGCCTCCATCTGGTCTGAAGCTGTTCACTAATAGATAGATAGTCCATCATACATCTGAAAATGGATTGGGTACAAATAATTTCTGGGTTTCAGTTAAAAATCTGAACAACAGATCATATTCGGAGAGATGTAAAATTGAATATTCTCGCTGCATTTAGTGTTAAAAACCAGTATTGTTTTTGTTGTAGAGCCTCTGTCACCAAAGTGTCAAGTTTTATGTTTTGAGGCATGAAAAACATTGTTTACTACTTTGTTAAACATTACATGAAGTTTCACTATAAGAATTGTTAATTTTTTTTCTATTCTTTGCCATTTTAACAAAATAATAAAAGATCATTAAGGCTCCTTAAAAGGCATACTTCATCAGATGTAATTGAAATTTCAGGTTTTTTAATAGTTTACTTTTATATAGTAAACGTAACCTTTAAGTGAATTTAAAAAAAAATTCTAATTTGACCATATATTTTAAAATATACCCAAAATATGTCTAAAAGCATATTGCTTCATTGGTACACTTGAACAAATACATATTTTGTTCACTTAAAGTATTTTTTAATTAATATATTTATTAAAAGTGTATTTTGGTAGAATTATATTGAAGTGTGTTTAAAGCTATGTCAAAATTGGTACAAGCATATTCTGAGTATACTTTGAATATATTTATAAGTAGTACACTTAATTCTTAGTATACTTAAAATGTACTTACACAAAAGTAAGTATGTTTGAAATATACTAAAGAATATACTTTTTTC